CTCCACCAAAATTAGTAAATTTGTCCTTTTTTCAAAATATTGCTCACATCGAGTTAAATTCACATTTTTGTGGCCCACACTGACACACCTTGATAGTTTTGGCCCATATAGGAAAAAGGTTGGACACCCCTGATCTAAACCAAAACAGCTAGGAAGCAGGAAGAAACAAAATGTATTTTAGCACAAGGATTTCAAAAAATGTCTCTCCCTTACAGTAAAATTCATGGCTTGAAAGGTTTTTGAGCGATTTGCATTCCTTCAAGGACTGCTAGGCCTTAAATTTGGTTTTATTTACGGCCTTTGCCATCCTTGAATAAAAACTACATTTAAGGCCTGCGAGTCCTGACTAACAGGAGATTCTTCTCTGACCTGCATGCAACAGGGGAGAGATGCTTGCCTGTGTGCATGTGTTTTTACAGGATACGTTTTTCAAAATTGGAATGATTTAGACGCTCGATTAATCCAGTACGACAGAGCAAAGTCTCCTGTGCGTGCACATGGTCTTGGACGCAAAAGGGAGGTGTACACTCAGTGCAGTGTTGACTCACTGATACACGGTTATCTCTTACTTCCTACTTGTTTTAAATACATAGAAGCATAAAGCTTCAAGTTTGGGCTCATGCTCCTCATTAGTTTCATTTATTTTATTTGGTGCCATTCAGGGAGTTTAATTTTGACGAGAATGATGAGCTAATGACTGCAAAGAGTCAAGCTAGAGTGGATTTCTCCTTCCTTAAAATGCCCCAAATGTCAAAAGATAAAATAATCAGAGGCTTTTTTCAAACCCTACTTAAAAAAAAACTACTTTACATCGTTGTCTCATGAGTTATCCCTTTAATAGCATTGCTCTGACAGTTACCCATTTATTCATCCTTGTTTAAATTTTCTTTAAGACGTTTTGGACTTAATTTCTGGGTGAAAAACGGCACATCTTGATCACTTGGAACAGTGTTACTGCTGCGATCAGATGTATTTTCACAACAGAGTCAGATGCTCTCAATCAAGAACACCCTTGGTCTCGAAGCATAAAGCGGTTTTCCAGGACAGTGTCCAACAATATCAAAACAAACGGAGCTAGATTTCCTGTCTGGTGCTCTGGGTAGCACAGGAAAGAAAAAATATATAATGAAATAGGAATCGGCTATAAAAAATGTCAAAAATAGTCCACAAACTAAAGGTAATGATTGTGCTGTAGCTAAATGTATGATGCTTTCAGAACTCATTTCTTCGACAGCCACGTTTATCCATCGACTCTTTCACATCTTAAAATCTGCTCCACATCCTCCTTTCCTCCCCTCCCTGCTCTGACATCCTTAAACAAAATAAACCCGTCCATCCAGAATGTAATTATTTAAGCCAGTAAAACGTCTTGTCTCATTATGTACACAAAAGGCATCTAATTGTGTTGACTTGAGGGATTCTTTGGAAAGAACGAGAGGAGAAGTCCGATAACAATCTGATGTTTGTTCTGGTGAACAGAAGACTGCAGCTGACCTCGAACTCGTAGACTCGTAGAAAAAGTTGACATGCATCACATTAATTCTTTGCCGGAGCTTGCCAAAAGGTGTCATTCATATTGGCAACGGATTACGCACTTGAATGGATGAAACTGCTTTGACACCCGAGCTTGATCTGTGCTTTTACTGTGAAAGATTTTGATTTGGGATCTAGTTCTATTTAGTGCGCTTGACTAAATGTCAAATAGCTAATATAAATAAAGTATTTTGTGAATGAACAACAAACAAGGTTATTTTGTAGCCCATACCCCTTCCCCCACAAAAAAAATCCCCAAAATACAATTATGCCATTACTTTGGCGCCCCCTCTGTAAGCTTTGCATTAACTCTTGCTAGATTTTTCCTTTCAAGCACTTTGAAGGCTTTAAAACTACAGTAGTCACTCACTTATCATGGAGGTTACGTTCCAGACACCCCCACGGCAGGTGAAAATCCATGAAGCACCGTGCGAGAGAGCAGACAGACTGATGCTACGTTTACTGAGCCAATCAGCCATCGGGAGCACGGGGACATCCCGACTCGGTTCGGGCCACACTTGATAATTTTAAATAAACTATCCATACTATTCACTCTGCTATCCACTTCACTGAAGCTCCCACAGCAGCGATGGGGGAAAGACAGACCCCGCCCCCTCCTTTCTCTTTCTGAGCCGGTCACAGGTTGTGCACCCGCCTGTTGTCTTTCTCTGCTTTACTGTGACAGACATCCTCAGCAAAAAAAAAAGGAGGGGGGCCCTCGGTGATCACTGAGCGGGCCAGGCCACTGGGAAACAATATGTACAATCTTACATTGAAAACCCACGAAAGAGTGAGTCTGTGAAAGTGGAACTGCAAAGTACTGGAGGGACTACTTTATTTTAAAGATGGTAAGAACAAATCCATTTGGATCTGCACTCAAATTTACATTGTTTTTGGCATTTGATTCTGACTCTTTCATCTGTAGTTTCACACTCCAGTCCTGTAGGAGGCGACAATGTGCTGATTTGTTAACTGTCTGAAACAAGTTTGGACAAAGAAGAAGAAAAAAAAAAAGAAATTAGTTGTCCTTGAGATGCCTGAAAGATAAAATGTAAAAATATGGATTGTGCTATTCTTCTTAAACAGTTGTCTTCTTGTTTCTAAACATATCTTTAGAAACATAGCACTGTTTAAAAAATAAAATCTACACAGAAACACTGAAAATAACCCAAAACGCTGTAGTTACCATGCCAGGCCTGTATGTGGTGCTGTAAAACAACCCAGAATATTTAAAATATAAACAAAAATACAATTTAATTTAAAATGTACCAAGGTTGAGTCAGGTCCTCTGGATGGATTTTTCTTTTGTTGAAACGTTTCGTCTTTTGTCCAAAATACGTTTCAACAAAGAAGAATCCGTCCAGAGGATCTGACTCAACTTTCTTACATTTAGTTACCTGGATTATTGAGCATGCTGTTTCAATTAAATCTTTTCTTAGAATAATTTGTACACTTAAAATGTATAGAAAAACATTCCCACCTTAAAAAAAAAAAAGCTAATTATGGGTTACAGTGAGCTGGTTGTAGCAGTTGGTAATGTATCCTCATTTTCTTACTTGGTAACTGATTAAGTACAGGCATCGCTGACGAAGTTTAAAAAGTGGACAATCTCAGTCAAATGAAATTGATGGCTGATTCATCTGTTTCTCTCTATGCAAGACTAAAATGACAAACGTTTCTGGACAACCCACGTATTCCCAGTAAATGGTCTGTACTTATATAGCACCTTTCTATCTTATGAAGACACAAAGTGCTTTACACTACAATCTGTGCCCTCATTTACCCATTCATACAACACTCTACAGAGAATATTCAGAACTTTATCGCATTCATACACCGACGGGACACACATTAGAGGCAACGAGGAGTTCAGTGTCTTGCCTAGGGACACTTCGGCATGTGACTGCAGGTGGAATCGAACACCCAACTCTTGCATTGGAAGACGACTGCTCTCAGCCACAGTCACCCCATGAAGGTCTTTAAATGAAGGTCTTTGTGATTTTCCTTATACTCATAGTTGTACCAGTCTCGTGTTGTTTTTTTTCCTGAACTGAGGAGTTTTATCACGTGTTAGCAAACAGTCTCAAAACTCTGGGCTGCACAAACTGACCAGGACTGGACCAAGCAGAGAGTGTAGCGAACTGGTACAGATCAAGTTATCACTCAGGCTTTCAGGTTGGGTAGTGAAATGACTGAAGCTATGCTAAGCTACTAACAATTAGAACATGAAACAAGTATGCTTTCAAATAATTTAGACCCTTGCGCCCTCTCAACATAAACCTTCTGTATAAAGATACGTTCAGTATCTGTGTTTTGTCCCACAGCAGGCAGTTTAGCCAAACTGCTTAACTTCAGTCTCCCATGAGGTCCAAATGGCTAACCAATTAACAGCAGCTTAATTCCTCAGTCCAAACACCTATCTCCGTCACATGCACACGTAAATGTATGCACGGACACACAAGCAGTGACAGATGTGCAGAAGCACAGGAAAACATGCATGCATGCACACAAACATTAAAAGTAAAGGAAACCCGGATCTACAAGGACTTAGATCCAATACCACACACCTCCATGCACACACACACACACACACACATATTAACGAAGGCTTAGCGTTGCAGAGACTGTATACCCCCAGCAAAGCGGGCATGACTGGCCTCCCACAGAGGAGGAACGTGCCTTAGTCACCTGATCCAGAGTGTTTTGTTCCTGGATCAGCTAACGCAGCTTTTAATCAAACAGGAGCTTCAAAAGTCTGGTAAAATGGTTTAACTGGGCACAGATTTACAAAAGAGATATTTGAATATAGAAGGTTTCTTCTGAAATATAGAAAACAGGATCCCCCTCCTCTCAAATCCCCATAAATTTCTCTTGCCACTAGGTGCCACCACTGGATTCTGTTCAGATCACAGCAAAGTTTATCCTCTGTTCACTTTTCTGACTGTTTCAAACCATTTCCAAAGATTTCACAGTTGGGGGAAGAAACTTGAGTCTGCAGTGAAACTGAGACATTGGTTTTACGTGACGTGGCTCCACTGACTGCAGAGGTTTTGGAATGTGGTCTGTCAGCGCTGATGGCTTCAAAAAAGACACGCAGAGAATTCCCAAAAAAAGGAGAGGAAGGTGAGAGCCCACCTGAGTGACAAGCAACAGCTGAGTCCACACATCTGGAAACCCCAAAATGCAACCCTTCATTAAGTCAGTGCGTCTTTACGCACACGCAAATTTAAAACTCTCCCATCATCTCACACTTATCCCTTCTGCTCCAGTAAAAAAAAGTAGAAAAATCCCATTTGAACGCTTTTTTCAGGCTTTTGTGCGTCTGGCAGTTCAGTTTTAAACCAATGCGTCACGAGTTCCAAAAGACGCACGAATCTACCCTCTCTTAAGTCTCTTTTAAACATTAAAAAGTGACGTTTCGAATGACTTCTTGGGTCAAAAGAAGCATAAAAACTTTAAGCACTTACCTAGATGCAAACAGCTCTGCAGGAGGGGAGCGGTTTGAATATTCCGTTAATAAAAGATACAAAAATAAAAATATCACCACCACATCCGGGCTGACCGTGGCCGACAGTAACGGAAGGATTCTGGAGTTGGAGCTCAGTGATGGAGCATTTCAGTGGATGATCGTGGACAGAGTCGGGCAGGAGACAGGGAGAGGTGCGCGCACCACGGACTGAACGATGCGCAACTCTGGCATCAACTCCAAGCGTCCAGACACGATATTGGAGCTGTGCTGCGCCCATTGGCTGCTGCGCACAGCTCCCCCACCGCCTCCATGACCCCCCCACCCCTCCAAACTCCACATTTCCACACACTAAAAACTGCTGAGTTAAAAACAACCCAGTTTTGAAACTTCTCTGGAACAGATTTAGTTCCAGTATTAGTTTATAGCTACCAGCACACAGAGTGGAGTTTTCCAGCCCAAACAAAAACTTTTAAATGACTAATTTAGTGACTTGGAGTTAATAAAAAAATAAAATAAAGTAAAAACAACCCAGAACTTAGTTTTTTTTAATGGTGGTAACTGATTAGCAACTAGTTTTTATTTTTAGAAACCCAAACTCGCTGTGTAGCACAAACGAAAGTTATTAAAGAGTAAATATCTTCTGTTGGAGAAAAATATTTGCTTTATCTTACTCAAAAAAAGGGACCACACTCAACAGCAAGAGAAGACTTTTAACCAGTATTTACTTGCATTTTCAGGACAGGTTACACACATATAGGAAGTACACACAAAACCAGTTGTGAGAATCAGCCACGAGCAGCGTGTGCAGCTTGTTTTTAGACCCTTATCAGTTCAGCTGAGCTCAGACTGGAAGGTGTGGGAGCGACAGCTGCACGCTGTGGCCTCACCCAGCTCTCTGCTGACCCCAACATACGATTCATGGGCAGAGTTAAACATTCTCAGCCATAGTAGTTAACACACACCCATAACCTCTGACCAAAAATTCCCCAACAGCTTCTTACAAGTTGTCTTAACCCATCTTAATGTACACGGGAAGCAAAAAGGTCCAGTCCAGTCTCTGGCTCAAATTGTCAGACGCCGTAGGGCTCATCATCCACCAGGTCGAACTTTACAGGATTTGATAAACCACTCCAACAGCTTTTATTTATTGGCAAAACAAAATATGTGGTATATATTCTAAGAAAATCGGTGCGTTATTAAAATAGCCTTGCTAAGGATAGCACTGGGCTATTTAACCGTTGCAAATGTGCATATATAAAAATTCTGGGTGTTTTAGGGCAATTATCACCCGTCGCTGAACGGTGAAGGTGCATGCTCATATCTGTGTGTGTATTGTGTCTGCTAGCAAAGCATGCGCATATTTTAAGCATTATATTCAGACATCAGTTTGAGATTCTGAAAGCTCTGGGGCTAAATAAATTTAAACAGAGCTTTATATGACCTCTGAGTCATGTGTTAACAGGTCTGCTCTACCACATTCAAAGTCCTAACAAGAATGTAGCAGCAATACAAAAAGAGTTATTGCTTCATGTGTATGCCCCATGCAACAGCTTCCTAAAAAAACAGCCTGCATAAGATCTTGGTCTACGAAAAAACTTTACAAAAACTAGCACGCCCAGTATTTTATTAAAAATATACTTGTTTCATTGTTTGTGAATTCAACCACCGTTTAATTCTTCTTGTGGTTGTGTCACGAGATCACGTTTCTTAGAAAGCAAATATTAAAAAAAGTTCTTATCAGTTACGGCTTTGAAGCCTTGCTCAACTGCAGCAACTCAAAGTTAATTTATATGGATTTACATACTTAAGCAGGAAGAAGTCAACAATAAAGTTTTTTTTTAATACGTGTATTAGTTTAAAAGTTGCAAATAAGCTTTAACCCTATGAGGAAAGTTTTCAAGGCTGATCAAAGCTTGAGCTGAACTCAACTACAACAGACGATGGGGATTTATTACCAAATGTGAGAAAGACAGAGGTATATATACCAGGTAGGGTGATTGCAAAGTCAGATCAGCTGGGGTGATTGCAGATGGCTGACAGGTGTGAGTGGAAATGGGGTTTGGCAGAAATCTTGTTTCATTTTTGGGAAGGACAGGGAGGTGTTGCCTGTATAAATGCTTGATAAGTTTTCTTTAGTGGATCTGAGACGATCTCCGTTTTTCCAGAATTGGGGGAGTTTGGATTATATATATATATATATATATATATATATATATATACATACACACATACACACACACACTTTTTATTGTCTAGAGGCAAGCACTGCTCATGTTCTTGGTTGATGCCAGGACTTATGATCAATATAGTAAAAACAAAAAAATAAATCTAATCTAAAAATACATAATGGAGGACTCGGCTGTGAAAGCATAGATCAGCATCAAGCTAACAACGAGCATTTTTGATGCAGGTGAGAAAATTGGCTCGTCTGCCATTTTGCTGCATCATGGTTTTCATAGAGCTGCAGCAGTTTGAACCTTGAATTATTTGACATTGCTGATATATTTTATACTCAAAGGATGCTGCAGTGGAAATTGAAAAAAAAAACCTTTTCTAGTTAAATTCAGATTTTGCTTCAGATTACTTGTTTTAATTCTAAGCTTTTTCTAATACCTTCACTTCCTGATTTATTTATAGTAGCACTTCCTCTGTCAGTATTACCTCTCACTTAGTCTTCTTCTTCTTGTTGGTTTTACTGGCGGTTGGCAACAAACTGTTGGTAGCATTACCGCCACTTACTGGTATCGAGTGTGGTTCTCTCACTTAGTCACACCTGTGTTGTTGAAGTTGTAATCGGCGCACCTGCTCTTAATGTCCCTCTGAATATTTGGCTTCAGTTTTAGTTTGTCAGTTTCTCATAATTTTCTTGTTAGTTTCTTTGCCCATATAGTTTAGTTTTATATCCTCGTTGTCCATCTTGCCTTTGCAACGCTTTCAGTTTGAATGTTTATCCAAGCCTCCTGTGCAATTTTAGAGTTCTTTGAGAACATGTAGCACCAAAAGTCAAAGATCTACATCTACAATGAGAAAAATAATCCACAATAATGTTTACTAACAAATATTTTCAGTATTGGACTTTCCTCCCACAGACCAAAAACATGCATGTTAAGCTAAATGGTAACTCTAAATTGTCCTTAGGTGTGAGAGAATGAATGGTTGTCTCTTTTGTCTCCATGTGGACTTGCGACCTGTCCAAGGTGTCCCCGCCTATCACACAGTGATGGCTGCACATGGGCACCAGTGACCCCCGCGACCAGAAAAGGAAGAAGCGGTTAAAGATAATGGATGGATGGACGTTTAAGCTGAGAAGTTTATCCAAATATCTTCAATCGCCACTGAAATAAATGAATCTTGAGTTGTTGCCTGTAGTGGCAAACGCAACAGATGGTAGCCAAAGCTCTCAGAATCTTTCAACACAAACTTTATTTACGATGACGCTCTCCTGCTAAATGCTTCGAAAAACTGATCATGACTCACATCAAAACAACCATCAACATCAACGAGGACCCTCATCAGTACGCATACCGTGAGAACCGATCAACAGAGGATGCAATCTCCTCTGTGGTCCACACTGCACTCACCCACCTGGAGCAGAAAAACTCTTACGTCCGTATGCTCTTTGTGGACTTCACATCCGCCTTCAACACCATGATCCCCCAAACCCTGATGGACAAACTATCCACACTAGGACTAAGTCCCTCCATCTGCAACTGGGTACTAGACTTTTTAACAAACAGACCACAGTTAGTGAGGATCCACAACCTCTCCTCCTCCACCATAACCCTCAGCACTGGCTCTCCTCAGGGATGTGTGTTGAGCCCCCTTCTGTTTACTCTGCTCACATATGATTGTGCAGCTACCCATCCAGGCTGTCACATTGTAAAGTTTGCAGATGATACAGCGGTGGTGGGATGCATCACAAACAATGATGAGTCCAGCTACAGGCAAGAGGTGGAACACCTGGAGAGCTGGTGCAGAGAGAATAACCTTCACATCAATGTGAAGAAGACAAAGGAGATGATTGTGGACTTCAGAAGGAACAAAAACATCTACACCCCCCTGAACATAAGAGGATCTGCGGTGGAAGTGGTCTCCAGCTACAAGTACTTGGGTGTACACATGAATGACAACCTCAGCTGGAGCAACAACACCACCAGCCTGATCAAGAAAGCTCATCAGAGACTCTACTTCCTCAGACGGCTGAGGCGAGCTGGTCTGGGAAGCTCAGTCCTCACCTCCTTCTACAGGTGTGCAGTGGAGAGCATCCTGTGCTCGAGCATCAATGTGTGGCATGGAGGCTGCACAGCTGCAGAAAGAAAAGCTTTGCAGAGAGTGGTGAAGGCTGCACAGAAGACTGTTGGAATCAGCCTCCCCACCATCACAGACATCTACACCTCCAGATGCAGGAAGAGGGCCACCTGCATCATGAAGGACCCCACTCACCCAGCACACACACTTTTTGCCCCACTCCCCTCAGGAAGGAGGTTAAGGAGCATTAAGTGTAGAACCACTAGACTGAGGAACAGCTTCTACCCTGAGGCTGTTAGACTCATGAATCTCTAACTAGAATAATCACTGTG